GGGCAAAGTGGCCGACGTGGTGGACCAGAGGTTGGGAGACGCGTACGATCGCGAGGAGGCCGTGACCGTGGCGGCGCTCGCGCTGCAGTGCATCAACGTCAGCTCCGGGCACCGGCCGTCCATGACGGACGTGGTGCGCGTTCTCCAGGAGAAGACGTCGGCGTTGATCTCCGCCGCTGGACCTAAGCCGGCCAGCAAGATGGTGATTTCGTAAAGGTGTACGTACGTAGGGTGTAAATGCTTAGGTAGGGCACACAACCTTTTCGTCACTTTGTTATTGTAAAGCGGATCAGTTAGTAGTTGAACTCCGGTACAATTTTTGTGATGTCATGGATGGGGTTGCAGGCATGTAGTGGCACATTAATCAATTCCTCCTGTAGATCTTACACAGTTGTTTTTGAGATAATAATACACGGAGTACGCGCTTAAGCTAATGCAAACACGCATGTGGTCTTCCGGGTACTTTGAGACGAGTTTACTGCTGAGGAAATCAAAGTCGATCTTCAGCCGATCCCGCCATTCGCTGCGCCTAGCGAATGCATGTGATCCACCATGGTCACAAATGTAGTTTAACCCGGCTTGGATGCACGTCCATGCATGCACTCCCCTCGCCCCCCGCCGATCTGATGGGCACATATCCATATGAGTTAATCGTACAAAAGTATCATAATTGAGGCATTGAAAGCAGATTTATATCAAGTTTGATAATTTTTACATGTCAGTACCAAGTCTGGAGCTAGCCGTTACAAAAAATCTAAATCGCGTATAAACACGTATTAACAGTGTATTTGACCGGCGGGGCCCGCCTGTCAGCGGCCGACGTGACATTTTTTTGCAGACCCCCCCCTCCCCCCGGCACCTCCTTCATCCTCATGCGCAGCGGCGCCCGATCTGGATCGAGAGGAGGAGCCCCTCGAGCCCGAGCTCCTTCGCCTCCCGTAACCCCCGCCCCGCCGCGGCCTCCTCCACGCCTCACCGCCGGTCAGCCACCGGAGCACCACCGCCGACGACCAGGACCAGGCCGTCCCCGCACCCTGTCTCTCTCCTTCCATTCTTTCTTCTCTCTCTCTCACACCCAGAGCTCTCTCTCTCTGTGTCTTGCCCACTCCCCTCGGACAGGAGCCCACCGCCAAGCCGCCATGGATGCCCTCTTGTAGCTCCAGCCCGACGCGCCGATCCGCGCTGGAGAGCCCCGGATCCGTCCATCCCCTTCGTCCCTCGACGCCGGAGCACCTAGACTGCGCTGCCTCCTTCCTGTTAACCGCGATGCCCCAACGCGCCCGCGCCACCGCGGGGCTCCTGCTGGAGAAGCTCTGCTGGGGAGCTGCGCCGGGTTGCCGCCGGCAAGCTGCGTTGAACCTGCGTCGCTTGGCGTCCCCTCGTCCTAGCCGAAAGCAGGCCGACGTAGGGAAGCCGCATTCGCGCCGCCGCTCAGCCTCTGCCGAGGGAGTCCGGTATGGGAGCTGCGCCGAGTCGCTACCGGCGAGCCGGGCCGAGCTAGCGCCATCGCGGGGCTCCCGTCGGAGGAGCTTGTCGGGGTCGTGCCGAGCCGCTATTGGCGAGCTGGCGCCGCCTGGGCCCGCTTCGCTGTGCGTAGGACCGACTGGTATTTTGCGGCGGCGGGGAGGGGGGGTGTTTCTGCAAAAAAAATGCCACGTCGGTAGCTGACAGGCGGGCCCCGCCGGTCAGGTACACCGTCAATACACGTTTATACGTGATTTAGACCTTTTTGTAACGGCTAGCCCCAGACTTGATACTGACGTGAAAAAGTTATCAACCTTGATGCCAATCTGTTTTTAATGCCTCAATTGTAATACTTCTGTGCAATTAACTTTATCCATCTCGCTGTTTGGCGCCATGTCACCACTTCATTCGTCGTGGCAGCAGAGTCATTTCTTGTTTGTCCACAGTGGTTCAGTTAATCGTTCTCCCTCTTTTCTGCTTATGCTTGGATGATTTCAAGCAGGAGAGCAAATGAGCAATGCAGGCGCACGAGTGTGCGCGCGGCTCTCATGCCGTGGATGTGTGGATTATAAAAGGGGAGAGGCGTGTAAAGCGCCGAGGCACGAAAATGACCAAAGTCACACGAAAATTCGTGGATCGGTTGCTGCGGTTGACACCCTAACCGACAGCCTAATGACGGCCTGGATCGGAATTAACAACATTACTACTAGCACAAATTGAAGCCTTCGAGAACAACTACGGGAAGGCGTATTAAATGTGCCGTGCGTAACAGTTCACAAACTGCCCTGGTCGATCAGTCACCCACTGGAGAGGCGAATTAGGTCGCATTCATACTTAAATTGCCCGAGTTCAATGTGAGGGTATGTGCAACTAACTCTTGGCTAATCGGTTTGCTTTTGCGATACGGAAGATCGATTCTGCTGTCTTGTCTTCATGTGTAGTTTGTGAACGTATTCGTAGCATTTTAATATTCGAAGCATGAGAAGTATACCGAGCTGGAATTACCCTGGAGCACCCACAGGAGTTCACCACACTTCCGGAGAAACTATCCTCTGTTATTCTCAACAATAGTATGCAAGATACTATCCACTAAAAGTTCACCACTCAATGAGAATACTCGGCGTCTACTGCCTATATGGCGCAGTTTGCTGGACACACAACTAGCATCATGCTTGCTGCTGTTTGGAAGGTTTGGGCCCCTCCAAAGTGCAAGTTTTTTACTTGGTTGATAATTCAAAACAGAGTATGGACAGCCGATCGGTTGCTCCGTGGTGGCTGGCCGGACTGCAACCTTCGCCTGCTATGCAAGCAAGTTCAGGAAACCGCGACGCATATTCTCTTCCAGTGTAGGTTCTCCTAACGTGTTTGGATACAAGTTGCTGCGTGGATTGGCCTACATGGTGATGTGGTGAGGAGCTGGAGATTTGAGGTTTCGATTCGAGAATGGTGGATAAAAAATGTGATTGAGCGTGGAAACCAGAGAAAGGCAATCGTCTCTTTGTTCAAGTTAATGTCTTGTGAGATTGGAAAGAGCGCAACGCTAGGGTCTTTCGCAATACCGCCGCTACTGCAATGATGGTCGTCGCGAAGGTCAAAGAGGAGGTCCATCTTTGGGCTTTGGCAGGTGCCACCTATTTGAGTATTATAATGCCGTGAGAGTAGTTCTTTATTTCCCGCTTTGCCGCTATTTGTCTAAAATCTTCTTTCTTAATCAATGAAGATGACTTTGCTTCTTTTTTTTAAGAGAAGTATACCGAGCGATGCGAGCCGTGGTGTGTTTGGTTCTACACCCTACGATTCACAGCGGGAGCGCTGCTAATGGTGATGCGTCCATGCTTTCACACGGACGTCACGCTCTAGCCGTCGTGGCGCAGGCCGCGCCCGGTAGCGGTTTTTTAAGAGAGAAAAGAAAAGAACTCCAAGAAATTAATTTTTGTTTTGTCTAAGCTGAAAGAGTCTTGGACATTACAGCGCGGCAGTTGGGTATACCGAGACACCGACATGTGCCGCATAGTACACCGCGTGGCGCGTTTATACATCCCGCCTTCCTCGAGGCCAAGCCGGAGAAGAACTTGTGCAGGGTACTCAACGACAGCTGGGTTTCTGAACGGCAAGGCTGTTGAAATTCAGCATGTTTCTCGCTCACAAGTCGCACAACCACATGCAGATCAGATCGCTTCGCGCACAAAAGTCTTCCTTCTTGCTGTTCGTCCGTGTTGAATTAGCGCGAAAACAAATGCCCGCAACGTGATTTGGGAGAAGGCATTATGCTTGGCGCTAGCATTTGGGCTAGCTGTTCTTGCTTGGTGCGGTCTGAAACCCTCATTTTTCTACGGTTGGCCCCTGGACATGCCACATGTGAGATTTGGGAGCTATCGATCACTTGTGTTCTTGGTCTCGCATCGGTCAGTTTAAGGAGCAGCTGCATTATTGCTCGTTCTTCCGTCCTAGAATAAAACTATGGAAATGTTGCTGAATGTTCAAGGGGGCCGGGCTGCCCGGATCCAGTCTGAACTTGTTTTTTTTTTGTTTTTTTTTGCGAGAAAATTTCTGATCTATTCATCTTCAATCATGACAGTACAACGAATATCAGAAATAATAGAAATTACATCCAGATCCGTAGACCACCTAGCGACAACTACCAGCACTGAAGCGAGCCGAAGGCGCGCCACCGTCATCACCCCTCCATCGCCGGAGTCAGGCATAACTTGTTGTAGTAGACAGTCGGGAAGTCGTCGTGCTAAGGCCCCGTAGGACCAGCGCACCAGAACAGCAACCGCCGCAGATGAAGAATAACGTAGATCAGAAAAAATCAATCCGAAGACACACGAACGTAGACGAACAACGACAAGATCCGAGCAAATCCACCAAAGATAGATCCACCGGAGACACACCTCCACACGCCCACCAACGATGCTAGACGCATCGCCGGAACGGGGGCTAGGCGAGGAGACCTTTATTTCATCTTCAGGGAGCCGCCGCCGTCTCGTCTTCCTGAGCAGGACACAAACCCTAGCAAAACTGAACTTGTTTATTTGTACCCATAAGAAATGGTAGATCAGAAATCCGCTGTTAAACGTGGTTTAGCCGGCATCGGTATTGTGGTGGTGGCATGCCATAGTTCTGGTGGACGTTTTCGCGAATCAAAATTTTCCGGTAGCTATATGGAGTAATTATTTGACATCAAATCATTGAGTAACCTTTTTTTTTGCGAAAAAATCATTGAGTAATCTTAACTCAACATAATTTAGCAACAGCAAACTGAGCCTTATTTTGTAAGAAGTTCTAGTTTAATTTCAAAGGTTTCTCATTCTTCTAGGTAGACACCTAGGGGTGTTCTCCTGAATCGTAGTACTTTGAGGAATCACAACACTCAACAGAAAACAGGTTACGCACTTGCACAATCCAATTTTGCAATCGAACAAAAGTATATAGGGTAGCATTTATGTGGTTTGCAGTCCATATGCTTTTGTTCATCTGGCGTAGCTTCTCTCGGCTATTTGCTCGTGGTCTCTTTCTCCGAGTTGTTTCTTCCATCATCTCCTCAGGCCGAGCAGTCCAAGGAGTAGAAGAATGTAGTTCGTATTGTAAACATGTCTTAACATCCCGATTTTACTGTCGTCCCATGGTGGGTATCTAAACATAAACTCAATTAGGAAGCTTCTCTTGAACACTGCCTTTTTGTTGCTGAAAAGCTCGAAGCTGTATTTGCCATGGTACTGTCCGAACCCGCTTTGCCCGATGCCACCGAACGGAAGACCTTCTACTACGTACTGTAACAACATAGTAGTCATGATTAGGTCAATTTCAGTAGTAAAAAGAACGAGAGCCATTCAAAGTTTTATGCCGCGAGAGCGCGTGCGGTTCGGAGGAATGAGGTGGATAAGTTTATATACCTGCACAATTGCGTCGTTGAATGTGATGCTTCCAGATGACGTTTCATTTATAATTCGGTGTTTTAGCTTCTCGTTTTTGGTGAAAGCGTAGATTGCCAATGGTTTCGGCATCGATGTGACAAACTTAATGGTATCTTCGATCTTCTTTACCTGAAAGCCCACATGTACGTGCACCATCAACTTAATATTGTAATCTTTCACAGAATATTATCCATTCGGCATACCGTGATGATAGGGAGCAGTGGGCCGAATATCTCCTCAGTCATGATGTCAGAATCGAGTGGAGGGTTTAGCAGTATGGTGGGTTCAATGGTCCTGCACCATAGGCATAGTGGCATGAGGCACCAATTTTGTTCATTTATTGTGTACATGATATATCCATAAGAACGATGCTACATAAGAAGGATGTGGACACATGAAGGTGAAATTCTCAGAACTTACAAGGTCTTCTGGTTTACTGATCCCCCGTGCACCACTGAACGTGCCACCCTATCATCATCCAAAAAGTTGCTTAACCTTTGGAAGTGCTTTGTGTTCAAGATCCGAGCCATGCACTCCGGTGTAGCGGTAAATCTCTTGACCGTTGATTTTAGTAGATCAATCTTCAGAGAGACAAAAAATAATGCATGCTCAAGAAGCAGTCGGAAGACATATGTGGTGTATATGACATGAGCTTGTATAGTATCGTAGTTAACTAGATATTAGAGTGGACCATACCAGAATAGGTGCAAATTTCTCCTCTACCAGGATGTAGTCGATGGCAACACAAGCTTGGCCGGCACAAACTGACCATTTTGCTCCCGCTATTCGATTCACTGCAATCTATATAACACTCACATGGGGGTATATAGTTAGTTCGTCATTCATTCCGACTCTTGTTGTAATTAAAAGCATGACAAGACCTTTAGAATTACCTGTCTGTCTCTCTTACTATCGAGTTGATCAACAATGCACGGACATTTTGACCCAAGTTCAAGCACGACAGGGGTCAAGTGCTTTGCTGCTTTCGTCAAAATAAGACGCCCTACATTGGCGCTTCCTAAACAACACGAAGAAACAACCATCATATACATACATGGAAGAACAATAATCTGATGGGATGTTGTCTGTAATGACTGCTTTTGTGAAGAAGCAAGGTGAATTTTCAAGTTTGTTGTTACCGGTGAAAAGAACTTTGTCCCATCTGTGCTCCATGAGTTGTTCTCCAACTTCAGGTCCACCTAAGATGACCTTCACAGCCTTAGGATCGAGATACCTTGGTATATTGGTAGCAAGGAACGCTGCGGTGGATGGAGCAAGCTCGGAGGGCTTTACAACCACAACGTTGCCAGCTGCTAGTGCGCCAGAGACCGGCTCCAAAGCCAAACCTGCATTACAACACATAACCATATCAATATTAGGTAACTATCCTTTTCCTCAAAAGGAAGGCAAGGTAAGGAAAAATTGTGCAAAACATGTACCCCAACAGTGTGACATACACACTTCAAGTTTCAATCATGATCGTTAACATAGTGTGAATATAATTAGATTCTCCACGAGTAAACATCAATGTGGTGTTCGACTTTAGGCACATTTCTTGATGACATGGACTTGAATTCCGCATATATTCCTATGGAGAATCTATTTTGCTTTGCACGACTATTGTTAGTAAAAAAAGTAGACACCTCTTTTGATTTAATTAATACTAGGAACACATTACCGTTTAAAGAATTCATAAAACCATTGAGACGATAAATGCATCTTTGTCGTGCCCACTCAAATCATATATGATTGGATTTTATGCCCAATTGTGTTTGATTGCACCACAGGAAAATGGATTATTTCCAAAAGATTTGCGTGTAAGGAGGATTTCCTTTGTGATAAGGACATCCATACTATGGTTACACCCACTTTCCTATAACGATGCTTGCTGTAGTACCTAAATACAAAACCACATAACAGATGTTGCGCACGGCAACTCATTTATTAGGTACTTCTGTTCCTACGAATTATTCATATTTTTCATCAGTTGGTGTTACTACAACATGTATGCTATATCCTTAGATTTAGCACTATTGTACATTCTTTAGGAGTACAAATGGCTTACTAAGGAGTTGCATAACTTTGCTTTGTATTTGAGTAGTTCTACGAAAATACGATGGAGATATTAATGTAAGTTTTAAGTTCTCTGAAAAAAATTCTCTAGAAAATGTGACTTTCAGGTCAGGTGCAATGCTGTGTTAAAAAAAAGGTTAGATGCAAGCAATGCATGGGTGTGAGGCGTGGTCAGCAAAAGTTGGACACCCTCCCCTCCCTCTCCACCCAGCCTGAGGGTCTATAGACATCTTGAGTAGTAGTAAATGACCATGCTGGCTGTAGTCAAAGAGGAAATCACAAAATACAGTGTACTGCATGTTTACATTTACCGTAAACATTGTACAATTTTCATATACATCAAGAACATTTTGTTATACCCGCTTAGCATTTTTAAATACATGCTTAATTTTTTTAGTTCTATGTTTTATTTTTTACATACATGTTGTACATTTTAGTACACATATAAAACATTATTTTATAGACGTATAACATTTCTTCAAATAAAGTTTTTGGAAAACAAATAAAAAATTCAAATACATGTTGATTTTGAATGATAATTTTTTAAACTATGCAAACATTTATTCACATTGTATAATTTTTTAAAATTCTTGAAACGTATTTTTGAAAACCGTGAATATTTTTCAAAACGTAATGTACTATTTTTTGAATGGTAGAAAACATTTTTTCCTGAATTTCATGAACAAATTTTTTGCACTGTTTAATTTTATCCAAAAATGTCTCGTACATGTTTTGAGACACGCGATTTTTTTTAATGTCACAAACATTTATGTTAATGCTATCAACATTTTTTGAGAATTACGCTAACAAAAAATTACATCTTGTTAACATTTTCTCACGGTGGACATTCGTAAAAAGTTTAAGTATATTAAGATTTTTTTTAAATACACGTATATATATTAAGAATTTATAAAAAATAAAAAAACCAATTAAAAAGCAAACAAAAACTGTATGTGTACACCTACGTGATTATGGGCTGGCCCATTTAGAGGGTCCTTAAATAGAGACTGGCTTATGTCTCGCCGCGGACAAGACACAACCGCGCTCTGCTACGATGATCCTCCACTTCTTAGAGGGGGGCGCAGCCGATCCGACTAGATATGCAGCGACATGCTACACGGTACTTCAACTCTATTTCTGTTATTGGTCTAATACACATATAGTAGTAATCCAATGGTATTTTTTATTTTGCACCAGTATAGCCTAAATGTAACTGAACATAAATGAGATTCGTACGCAGTCAGAGAATACTACCCATGTTGATGTAGCTAGATGTGTACTGTATATATTGCAGTAAAGTCCCCAACTTTGGGTGTAACGAGTAATATTCATAGCGCACACGTCGCAATTATGAGACGAAAAAGAAAAGACAACACTTGTGTCGCTAGAGCAAAGGAGTCAGCGTCACCTAGTGGCAAATTCCAGCAGGAGAACACGAGCACAACGCCGAGCGGCTCGGGCACCACCAGCGCGGTCGCCGGGAAGGAAACCAGCGGCGCCTGAGCCTACATACACGCACCAAAACAACAAGTCATGGCCTCTACAATCAGAAGCAGCAGTTACTTAATCAAGTTTTTCGGCAGCTGTGGCGGGAGCTTGCCTTCTCGGGGGCCGCCCATCTCTCGAGGTTTTTCAGCGTGTGGTTGACGGACTTGACGAGAGCCCCAAGCTGAAGATCACCAAAACAAAACAGCTTTAAGTACCATGGAATGGATACACTGAAACTGAAATTCATGACCAGCCAACCGACTCAAGCATGCCATGGATGCAGAGGATTCGGCGCGAGCGCTGCCTGTACGTACCTCGTCCCTGTAGGACTCGGCGCGGTGCTTGCCGAGGTCGTCGTGGAGCGCGTCGAAGATCTCCTCCTCCTTCTCCGTGAGGAGCCGGAGGAGCCCCTTGAGCTGCGCCCGCCTCCAGGCGAGGTCCTTGGTCCGGCCGCTCCCGTACGCCTCTTGCAAGCCGCTCAGCAGGCCGCCGAAGCCATGCTCGGGCTCCTCGTGCAGGCTTCCCATGGAGACAGAGGCGAGGCGGAGGAGCTATAGCTCACGAAGTGCACGCTCGCCGGTTGATGGCCGCGGTGTCGAGCTTTAGGTTGCAGAATGAAGCGCGCCCCGGACGTTGTGTTAAATAGCGTGTAATACCCCCCAACTGGGCAGAAAACGAAAAATGCCTGTACGCCGGGCCGTGTGGTTGAAATATGGCGGGCCGTTCATCAATGCGGTGGTTTATTGTCACCGTACGCGCAGTTGGATTGCGGGGACTGTGCGTGACAAGGTGGCGGTTAGCTTGCCTGTCCAAATTAGAAATAACCGTATACTTCCTCCGTAAATTGATATAAAAGCATTTAGATTATTAAAGTACTCCCTTCGTCCGAAAATACTTGTCATCAAAATGGACAAAAAAAATATATCTAAATCTAAAATACATCTAGATATTTTCCTTTTATTCATTTTGATGACAAGTATTTCCGGACGGAGGGAGTACTTCCTTCGCTCGGAATTACTCGTCCAAAAAATAAATGTATCTAGATGTATTTTAATTGTAGATACATCTATTTTTGTGATAGTAATCCCGAACGAAGGGAGTAGTAATGTAAAAGCATTTAGAGTACTGCAGTAGATTGTTGCGGTGATCGCTGGTTTACTGACGTGGAAACACTGTGAGACCGTATGGCATTATGGCTACAGTGTATAGTGTTTGGCTAGCCGCTTTTGTCTAATTTGGTCAGTCAACTTTGGTCAACCTTTTTCTTTTGATCGAACTATTGCAATGCAATCTTACTTTCGATCCAATCACGAACAAAAGTTGGACAGCTAACTGTCAATACTGACTTTTTTTTCTTCCACAACCTCACGCAAAGCAGTATTACCGCCTGATTACTCTTGCCACATGAAGGAAATACCTAACCTGACCTATAAAGACAACAGTAATCTACACCGGAAAGTGACTTGACAAAGTAGAACGAGATGACAAGGACATGACTTTTGAGTATAGCTCGTTCTA